CAAGTCGACGGTGCCTTTGGTCGAGTAGCGACCGCTTTCGTACGCCACTCCCATATTAAACAACGTCTTCGGGTTGGATTTGGCCGATGACCAGCACTTCATCGCCTCATCCGGATCTGTCTCGACGAGAGACAGACCTAACAAATGGTTGAGTCGATCGACGTACTGAACGGAGGCATTTTGCAACTCTTTGCATATATCATCGATTGGATCCGATTTGGCATTTATTGCAAACCCAATGCTTTTTGTATGTGTTTCAGGACATGAATCGGAATTCTTTTCCGTGAGCTCTTCGTTAAAAACATGTAGTTTTGTGTCAGTTGTAGTCGTTTTGTTAAATATATAGCTGTGTCTGATTGGCGCCGATAATACAAACAACTTGGAGAGCAATGCATTACAGTATTTGCATTTTCCACATGTCTTCCAACACTTCTCATCGTTTAAGACATTGGTGTCCAACGGCTCGTAAGTGTTGGTACAGGCGCTGGTAATGCTAGGCCTTCTCGTGTGAAATGATCTTGGTACGTGCAAACCCAACACAATTGTCGCACCCTTTCGTTTAAATTAATTCAATTTTAATTAGATTCAACTCAACATTCAAAAGATTAATAACAAAATATAAAATTATATCATTGAATTTAATCACTAAATGCTTTCACTTAGCTTTACTGAGTGTTATCTAATCGCTAGTCATTTATTAATTAAGCCAAACATTTGTTTTGAAAATGTTTACACATTAAGAATATTATATTTCAGGGTATTATTAATACATAATCCTAAGAATTATCGCTATTTTTAAACCTCCCAAAACGATTAACATTTTAAATAAATGTCATTACGTTTTGTTTGATTACTTGACTTTTAAGCAATTTCATCAAATGAATGAATATTAGGCAATAAATAGATATGACTTTTAATTATAGTAAAAACAAAGATTGAGTGCAATATAGAGGCAAACGATGTGTTTGGGGTTTCATTGACGACAATAAGTTCTTTAACGACAAATTGATTGCAATTCTTATGAGTGATAACAAAAGTGCTGATTAGTTGTGTTTTATTAATTGCTTGCCTATACTGAATATCTCGTAAGTTATCTCTAAATGAATAGCAATCAAAATAAAACTCATTTGAGACAAACTGCGGTATTACAGTGTAATATTACATATTAATAAATCCTTTACTAATAAACACTTTATTTGCTGAAAACAAAAGATAAAACATATGTTTGTACTTAAAACTCTTCATTTTAATTGTTTTTTAAACTAATAAAAATTAATTTGTTATCTAAAAGATCAATGATTTATAGGATTTAATTAAAGTCTACAAGCTTGTATAGATTTAATTTAAATACACAATAATTAGTTTAAATATTGAAACCAATATCTATACTGTATGGTCAGTAAACTATCTATTACTGACCACACCATAGATAATGTGATGCAATATCACATTTATTTGTACTTGATTATCAAACTCGACATTTTAATTGCAATATTACTATTACTATTCTCATATAAAGAAAATTATTACCGGTAACCGATAAATCAATGATTACTACGAGTGTGACAATTAAAAGCATTGCCATTAAAATACAGATCAACTCAACTAAATGCATGTGTTTTGGTTGACATTTAAACTCAAATCAATGATATATTCAATTATATTAATAACAGAATATTCTGTATAAGAAATGGTGAATAAAATGCTTACAATACATCCGATGGTCTCCAACCATCTTTTGGTCATCAAATGGTATTTACATTCACTGAAAGAGTAGTGGTTAGAGTGGCACTCCTCATGAGTTTTGTGGTATTTGTGGTCATCATGACTATGGGTTTGTTGGCCACTGTTAGCCGTGGAGTTGTTGGTGAAGTTGTCGTACCATTTCTTGTAGTAAT